GATTCACGTACATAAGTGTATAATATAGTTTAATCAAATAGCAGTAGTCACTTTCTATCAGATGACCCGACTGCTCGGTTGCCCCCCTTTGCTATAAAAAAAATCCTTGTACAAAGTTACAGTAAAACCCTCTCATTTTCTCTCGTATAAAAGAAACTCTTTTTAGACTTAAAGTTTGTTAGTAGTTATTTTCAATAATTTTATGGACTTTTTATTTAATTTGAATACTGTTAGCCATCTATGCCCTAGACCTCCTGCCTTATGCCCTAGACCCTTTGTATTGCGGGTGCTCTTTTAGGAAAACAATTATTTACGACAAATTGTACCATACCTTCAAAATAAAAAAAAGACTTTATTTAGTTCTAGTAATAGATATTATTGCTACATGTAAACCAGAATCATATGATTCAATTATTGACTAATTCACAACGATTTCACGTGTGATAAATCACTACTTTAATTTGGTCAAAGACAAAGTTATATTCTATCAAAATCAATCACAATTATTTTTATCAAAGACATTATATTATTTGGAACTTATTTTTTTGGATTTAGACCTTTCGCGAGTCTGGCGCTAGCTTAATAATAATAAGTCACAGTGATTGTGTGAATTAGTCACAAGTGTAATTATATTACATGTAAAAATCAAATGGTTTATAGCAGGCGATTGTAATTTTAATCCATGCCTATTTATTTTAAATCAAATAATGTAATACTGCCGGAATTTGTAATTATTGTACATTTTGTATTTTGTAACAAAAATCTTTTTGTAATAAAAAGAATAAAACAAAAACATTTCCTTGCAATTTTAAATACAAAATAAGATAAAAAGTGGTTTTCTTAAAACATGCGTGACTGGCTACGCTGATCATATTGCTATAAGCTCTATACTCTACGGGAAATGCTATAGAAAAATCTGTCAATGTCAAACGTATGAAAGAGGTTTGGGTAGACTTATTTAATTTAGTACCAGGGCTTCCTAATATAATATAAAATATTTTATCCACTAGGTCTACTTAACTACTATATACGAATTAAGTCGTAAAATAAGGGTTAATAATATTTTTTTAAGTGGCATTGCTCTAAATTTAATTTAAAAGTCTATTTTTCAGTCATTTTATTTATTTTACATTGTTATGCTATAGCATACAATTATAATTTTTTTTAAAAGCTGTCTCTCTCATGGTAACCTATTACCTTAGCGGAAAACCAGTATAGATAGGTCAACTCAGTTGTGCGCGCGGCCCTATGTGTGCGTGGGTTTGTAAATATACAACTTCCATTCGTGTGGCAGTGACGCGGCAGTCGTCGTCCGAGCAAGACGTGTTCTTATCGCTTTTTCTTAAGAGTACAGTCGTTTACGAAAATGTCTAGTTCTTCACGGAGAAAATGTTTAAGGAGTCAAGTAAATATTTTTTAAATTTAGATGTAATTAATATTTATTATGATTCTATATACGAAAAAATATATCCTTGTTGACGTTTACGTATTATTGTTTTAGACCCGAGAAACCATTGCTAAGGTATACGAATTTCTGAAAATAGATGCGAGAGATATATTGGAACTAGTAAGTGATCCAGTTTGCAGTGCAAGTCCAATTTTAATATCGAAATTAAGTGAACATTTAAATAGCGTACGGAAAAGAACAGCAATGGCAGTGGGGGTATCAGAGAGAACAATTACTAATATATTGGCTGAAGGAAAAGAATCTGACTCTAAATTTAAATCTCCGCATAACCGACCGTAAAAAACGTTTAAAAAAGTTAGAATTAGACAACTTTAACGTTGATGTTATACGTTCCACTATTCAAAATTACCATTTAGAACATCGCGAATTACCTACCTTGCTAAAGTTGAAAAGAATATTTCAAGATAAACTTAACTATGATGGAACTATTTCGACTCTGCGTACAGCTTTGTTAAAGTTGGGATACAAATGGCGAGAAACTGTGGATAACAGACGTGTTATTATAGAGCGGCATGACATCCAAAAACTACGATTTTCCTACCTAAAAAATTTACTCAGATACCGTCAAGAAAATCGGTGTATCGTATATACAGATGAGAGCTACATCTTAACTAATCATGTGCAAAACAAAGGATGGGGTAATAAAGATGGACCACCTTTAAAGAGAAACCTGTTGAAAGGACAAAGAATTATCATTGTGCATGCTGGTTCAGAACAAGGTTTCGTACCTAACGCAATATTGACATACAAAGCAAATAGTGTTTCTGGTGATTACCACTCTAACATAAACGCAGAAAACTATGAAAAGTGGCTAAAAGAACGTCTAGTACCGAATCTTCCACCTAACTCTGTGGTTGTGCTTGATAATGCCTCATACCATAACGTTCAAAATGACAGAGCCCCAAATTCTAATTCCAAAAAAATAGAAGTGCAGAGATGGCTGACAGAAAAAAATATAGCTTTTAATCAAGATATGGATAAAATTGAACTGGATGATTTGATTAAAAAAAATAAAGAAAAATATATCTGTTACAAGATTGACGACATACTTCAGCCATATGGCATAAAAATTCTTCGACTGCCACCATATCGTCCTGAACTAAACCCCATAGAAAATGTGTGGGGAATTTTAAAGAATTATATTGCTTCGCATAATGTCGACCAAAATGTGACGGAAATAATGAAACTCATAAATGAACGTTTAAGTCAAATTGATGAAGGGATGTGGGGTAATACTTGTCGACATGTACAAAAGAAAGAAGAAGAATACTATAGACATTTTGACATGGAGTCAGAATTCATAATTAACCTTGGTGAGAGCAGCGAATCCGAAAATTCATCATTTGATTTTTCAAGTAGCGATTCAGAATAATGTTCAATAAATAAACATTACATTACGAAATAACTCTTTTTTTAAAAAACCCGTATATAACCCGTGAATAACTATATTTGCATTTGTACGACTGTACCTCTTGTCACGCACACAAAGTCACTGTATATGTATAAGGTTTACCCACACATAGGGCCGCGCGCACATCTGAGTTGAACTATCTATAATTATATGCACTGAATTTAAAGTAGTGTTGAGAAAAATGAGCTTGGAATAGGAAGCTTGAACCCCGAGTCTAAGCCACTGAAGCTTTAAAGCTCGAGCTCTAAAGGCTCCCGAGTCTTAAAGGTTCGAGTCTTAAAGACTCAAAAGCCCTAAAGAGAAGACTGTCTTCAGATTTCCGTTTTCTCAGAAAATTTAGCACGTCCATAACCTACGTTACTTTTTACAAACTATCATCTAATTAGGTTATTTTTATGGTTTTATTATTATGAAAAATATTAATATTGAAATTTTGAATGTTTTTATTGTAAGTTTACATAATAATTTATTAAACAGGAAACCTAACACATTGATTCAGTGCTATTAATGTCTTTGAGACTACCTACATTTATTATTAATATAACTACAATAATCTAAAATTATAAATACAAGAATTGTAACAAAACATTCCATTTGTATAAAAAAACAGTTTTCAGTACAATTTTTCCACTTTAAATTATATTGTTAAATGTAGTCGTAGTTTATCAGTCGGCAATTAACAAAGTTTCTATTGTTTTTCGAAATGTGTAAGGAAAACTTGACATACCTGATACCTCGCTTAGAGAAAATGAGACTTTAGCTTTGCCTAGAGATGAAACACCTTTATTGACAAAAAGGCCGTGTTTTAGTTGGAAATGGTGTCAGTTTACAATAGAGAACAAAAAATTGTTAAGTTGTATATGAGCCATAAACGGCAGAGCTCGAGCTTCGACTTCGACTCAGCTCGAGTCGCGAATCGAACCTTGTGTAAAGGGCCGCGACTCAAGCTTTGTATATAAGGCTCAAAGCTAAAGCTCGAGCCTTCAATGAGTTTAAGACTCGGAAGCTCGAGCTTTCTAACAACACTAATTTAAAGCCTGCAAGTTCAAGTTTCGACAGCCTATTTTAGTACGTATTAAGTCATTTAAAATAATCTTATGTTTAAGCAATCATACACGTCACAAATCTTTCAAGCTATTCTAAAAATGTTAAAAGTAATTCCTGTCCAGTATTCCTCTGAATATTGATTGTATGCTCAAATAAAAAGGAAATTAGTAGTAATATACAAAACTTTTAAGTCTCTATCTCTGAAGAGGTAGGTAGAAGTATGTTAAACGCCCACATATTTTATCAACTAAAATTTAGCCTCACTCATGTAATAAGGGGCAACCCTATGGCCGTACTGGTACTGAGAGCACTTCAGAAGTTGAAAATAGAACAATTGGGAACATATTGTAATATGAAAATAGAAAAATTGGGAACATATTGTAATTTGAAAATAGAACAATTAGGAACATATTACAATTGGAAATAACGAAATTGATATTGCTTACTCTCTTGCCAGACTGGCCCTCCCCAATAGTTTGAGCAAGTTAGGATCGCAAAATTGGAACTTGAATTAACTAATTAAATCTTGCCGGGAAGACAACACCGTCTAACCAAAATAAAAAAAAAACTATAATAGTTCATTCCAATGACTTGAGGAACCGTTTCACTTTCACGTTTCACACACCGCGCTGTTCCATTCTTCACAGTGTTCAGATACATTTGTATGTAATACAAAGGATAAATACTTTCCAAGTTCTTGCAAGCACTCTGTCCTTCAAAGTAACCGGATTAATAAAATACTAGGCTTTAATACCTGTCTGAGTAAAGGCAGGCATCCCTATTAAATTTAGGTCAAAGCAGAACAGACAGAAGCTGTCAATTCTTAAACTGTACCTATTGATAGAGAAACTTTAAAATTAAAAATAAGTTTTAGCTAATTTCTTAAGTAAATGTAATAGTAATCTTTTAAAGTTCAGAGTTTTGTATAGGTAAAAGAATATTCTAATTTATTCCCGTTGAAAATTGCATGATGTGATCTTAACAACTATAAAGACGCCTTTTTGTTTCATAGGTTTTGGCGGGAATACTTTAAGTCCTCTTTATCGCTATAACGTCAACAAGTAGCCAATAACAATGGATAAAAATAAACAGAGAGGCCCTCCTCCAAAGAGGTTTAAGTCGGGTGACGATGATGAAGACAATGAAGTACCGTGCAGTTTTGAAGAACAATTAGCCACTATGGACAGTGGCGAATTTGATTCACAAGAAGTATTCGGTGACGGTCCAGAAAATCAATCTACAAATATGAAATGGTCAAGGCCTCCACCACCCTTAACAGATCCAAAAAAAGATAAGTTGGTATTCCAACAGCTAGATATAGATCATTATAATGGTACACCAATAAAAGGAATGCCTGGATCACAACTTGCCCCTGTCCCCATAATGAGGATGTATGGCGTTACTATGGAAGGCAATTCTGTATGTTGCCATGTTCATGGATTCACTCCATATTTTTATGTAACAGTACCTATCAATTTTACAGAATCAACATGTAATGACTTGAAAACAAACCTAAATAAAGCTATATTAGAGGATATGCGCGGTAACAAAGATAATCTTAAAGAAACTGTGTTAGAGGTGCGTTTGGTTAAAGCAAAATCTATGATGTATTATAAAGGTGAGAATGATATTACTTTTGCTAGAGTATCAGTTGCTTTGCCTAAACTCATTGCTGCTGCAAAAAGATTGATGGAAAGGCAACCAACTTCATTTGCACTAATGGATCCAATGTTTTATGAAACTAACATTGATTTTGATATCCGATTCATGGTAGACACTTTTGTAGTTGGTTGTAGTTGGATTGAGCTCCCAGCTGGAAAATGGTTTCTAAGATCAAAGGATTCACAAACTAGAATTGAATCTAGGTGTCAAATAGAAGTAGATGTGGCCTGGAATGCATTTGTAGCACACCAACCTGAAGGAGAGTGGTCCAAAGTTGCACCAATAAGAATTCTGAGTTTTGATATCGAGTGTGCTGGCAGAAAAGGTATTTTTCCTGAACCTCAACATGATCCGGTCATCCAAATTGCATCTATGGTTATCAGGCAAGGGGAATTAGAACCATATGTTAGAAATGTATTTACATTAAAAAGCTGTGCCCCCATAGTGGGATCACAGGTTCTTAGTTTTGAATCAGAATCTGAGATGCTTGCTAAATGGTCTGATTTCTTCCGTGAACTTGACCCTGATATAATAACTGGGTACAACATAAACAATTTTGACTGGCCATATTTAATAAACCGAGCTAAACATTTAAAAGTAGAGAACTTTGACTTTTTGGGTCGTATCAAGAATATTAGGTCTGTTATAAAAGACTCTGTACTGCAGTCAAAGCAAATGGGTCGTAGAGAAAATAAAAGTATCAATTTCGAAGGAAGAGTGCCATTTGATCTTTTATTAGTTCTTGTACGTGATTATAAACTTCGGTCATATACTCTGAATGCTGTCAGTTACCATTTCCTTCAAGAGCAAAAAGAGGATGTACATCATAGCATTATATCAGACCTTCAGAATGAAAATGAACAAACCAGGAGAAGGCTGGCTATGTACTGCTTGAAAGATGCTTATCTACCACTTAAACTTTTAAATAAGTTGATGTGTATTATAAATTACATGGAAATGGCTAGGGTGACAGGTGTACCACTGTTAAGCTTACTCACTAGAGGTCAACAAATAAAAGTTGTTAGTCAGTTGCTGAGAAAGGCTAAAGATATTGGATATTTGATGCCAGCTTATCACAGCCAAGGATCAGATGAACAATTTGAAGGAGCTACTGTAATTGAACCTAAACGAGGATATTATGCAGATCCAATCTCAACTTTGGATTTTGCATCCCTGTATCCTAGTATAATGATGGCTCATAACTTATGTTATACTACCTTAATCCCACCAAATATGCAGAGTAAAGTTAATTTAAGCAATGACGATTATACAATAACACCTTCTAAAAACATGTTTGTAAAAGCTCATGTTAGGAAAGGGTTACTGCCTGAAATCTTAGAATCCCTACTTGCTGCAAGAAAAAAAGCTAAAGCAGAATTAAAAGAAGAGAAAGATCCATTTAAAAGATCTGTGTTGGATGGAAGGCAACTCGCTTTGAAAATCAGTGCTAATTCAGTATATGGTTTTACAGGAGCACAAGTTGGGAAACTGCCTTGTTTAGAAATCTCTGGCAGTGTTACTGCATATGGAAGAACTATGATAGAATTTACAAAAACTGAAGTTGAAAAAAAATACACAAAAGCAAATGGTTACAAAGAAGATGCTATAGTAATATATGGAGATACTGACTCTGTTATGGTTAAGTTTGGTGTTAAAACTCTTGAGGAAAGTATGGAGTTGGGCAGAGAAGCTGCTGATTTTGTCACTACAAAGTTTGTTAAACCTATAAAATTGGAATTTGAAAAAGTATACTACCCATACTTACTTATTAACAAGAAACGATATGCTGGACTATATTTTACAAAACCAGATAAATATGATAAGATGGACTGCAAAGGTATTGAAACAGTTAGAAGAGACAATTGCCCACTTGTGTCTAACATGATGAGTACTTGTCTTCAAAAGCTACTTATAGACAGAGATCCAGATGGTGCCGTCAATTATGCAAAGCAAGTGATTGCAGATTTATTGTGCAACAGGATAGATATATCGCAACTAGTTATTACTAAGGAGTTAACAAAAAATGATTATGCTGCTAAACAGGCCCATGTGGAATTAGCTAACAAAATGAAAAAACGAGATGCTGGAACAGCACCTAAACTTGGTGATAGAGTTCCATATGTTATATGTTGTGCAACTAAAAACACACCTGCTTATATGAAAGCTGAAGATCCTATATATGTCTTGGAAAACAGTGTTCCAATTGATTTCAATCATTACATGGAAAATCAACTGTCTAAACCTCTTTTAAGAATTTTTGAACCAATATTGGGAGACAAAGCTGAATCTTTACTATTAAAAGGTGAGCATACTAGGACAAAAGCCATGGTTACTTCAAAAGTGGGTGCTTTAGCTGCTTTTACAAAGAAAAAAGAGAAATGTATAGGCTGTAAAACTGTTATGCCTAATGATGCTGTAAAAGCTGTATGCCATCATTGCTTACATAAGGAAAAACAGATATATATTACTGAAGTATTTAAATTGAGACATCTTCAGGAAAAGTTTTCGAGACTTTGGACTGAATGTCAAAGATGTCAGGGCAGTCTGCATGAGGAAGTTATTTGTACTAACAGAGACTGTACGATATTTTACATGAGAAAGAAAATGGGAATTGAATTAGATACACAAGAAAAAACAGTCCTGCGGTTTGGTGAACCTTCATGGTAACAATGTATTGAGTTTTTGAATTCATAATTATGTTGGAAATAAGTATAGTAACTTTTTAATTTATATTTTCAGTTTGAAATAAACAGCAAAAAATATGTTGTCTATATTTTATTATATTTCACTTAATATTATTTAAACAATAACATCTATGTATGACAATTTGGCGTCTAACACAAATTAACATTATAATTTACAATGAAGTATGACTTGGAATGTGTGACTACAGTGCTATTTTTTGATTTTGATATCTTTTTGCAAAACTTCATCATGTAAACCAAGTTTCAAGATAACACAGCCTAAAATATAGATTGGAAAAGTTCTAGTGTAGATAAAAATAAACTGACCTTAATACTAAACGTTGTTTTAAACTTCAAAAATTTTATTCTAACATATTTAGCAAGCAAATTTAATTATTATTAGACTGCCTCATACAGTTTATTTATATCACAGGAGTACATTATTATGCAAAAGGCTTAGTATAAATACCTACTTGTTTAAACAAACAAAAAATATAATCAAAAGAACAAGCATAACACTTAAGTACGATATATTGATAATATATGGAGGTGCAAATAAATTAGTTCTATCTAATTTCTTCAAACAAGCCATTCTTATATATATATATATATATATATATATTGTGCATCTCGAAAACGGCCCTATCGATTTGGGATCTTTGTATTGTTTGTAAGGGTTTGCCCTTTATCTGTAAACATGACTTAACTGAAAACGCGATTAAATAAAAACATAGCAAAGTTCTATCTTCCAGGTACTATTTTATAATACTTGTATTTTTCAAAACATGGTATTCTCAATTCCAACATAAAACAACTAAATAAATAAAATGATTATATTCATACAAATTTTACTTCCACTTCTTAAAATTTTAACATATTATTATATAAGAAAAACCTAATATACGAGATTTTCACTTTATCATTTTTAATAAATATAGGTATAAAGAAATAATAATAATTATAATGTTATTATTTTTTGCAAATATAAATTAGTTTTCTTTTGCAGTAACAGAAAAAATGACGGAGTAGTATTTCACCTATTTTCTTGAGATAGAGTTCGTGTTATACTTTGTCTAGGTGTCTTGATCGCAGCTGGTTGGGATTTTATAGAATTGTTACATTTTGGAATGGGCATGTCGAATGAGCATACAGAATTTGCAGCAATAGAAGGAGTTAATCTCATTATATCTTCCAATGTCCTTATGAAGGTATCACATGTAGCTGTTAGTAGACTGGAGGCATCATCAATTTTCTGAAACAAAAAATGTATTGGAAATTATTGAGAAAATCGACAAGGACACTTAGGAGAGAAAAACAGGCTTTTATGGCACTCAAGAGCAATAAAATTCGCTTTCATTCCTAATGACTTATTAGAGTTGATAGTGATTTACGATGCAATTGCAGTATGATTACGATTGTATCTGTTTTTGATAGAAATCTCTCTGATTTTACTCTGATCTGATTTACTGATTAACATTTGCTATATCTAAGTTATACCTAAACACCAACATCATATATTTATTGATAATATGGACCATATATTTTTTATGCTATAGGAGGCTGTAGGACGAACGAGTCAGAGGGTCAACTGACGGTATGTAATTACCAGTACGTGGCAACACACGCAGAGCCTCAAGTACATTATTAGTCCTCTCCACAGAATCGGGTGGAAAGAGACTAGAACTTCGTCAACCACACTAGCCTGGTGAAAAGCAACAAAGAATTGCTTAACACAGAACTTCTGAGAGGCAGTGATATCAATCCGGTCAAGTCGGCTCAATTATGCCAAACTATGGTCTCCTACATACATATTACACAGAGCCATCGTCTGGCTGGCTTAATCTGAGTGTAGCACATTTGCTTTAAGGAAAATGCATTACTTCTAAGACATAGTAAACATATTTTACTACATTAATTGCTAATGTATTCATCTATTTACCTGCATCTCAGGTCCACCATCAGCAGTAGCTGCACCTTTAATAGCATGGACTTGTTGCATCATCAGGTCACAATATAGCCGCAACTCTGATTTTTTATGACTTAATGAATTGGCATCTTCCAAGGCCACAACTGGAAGATAATTTCATTGTCAACATCATAGACATATAACGCATGACATATAAATATATTGATACTAAAAAATGAATACAAATATTATACTAAGGAGAGATTATACAATGCTACTTATGCATGGTAAAATAATAATAATAATTATGTAATGAACACAATAGTTTTTTCTGTGTCTGAGTGTAATTTATCTTTATCTGTATATTTGTATCTGTAATGATATATACCTTCAAGTTTGTATCTAATTGTACAATTTAATTAATGAAATAAACATGATTATTATTTATCAGAAGTCTGGTAACCAGAGTCTGTACCTACTCTGGTTACTAGACTGCTGATTAATTGATTTGCCTAGTTGGGATCAGAAGATCCAAAAATTTTAGTCAAAAGAACATACAACATTCTAAAATAAATTTATAAAACAATTACTTGGTGCTACCACAATATTCTACATTTAATAGGTAATATAAAATCTTAAATTTTAACGGACAATTATTTAAAAAATCTAATTATTTCACTTGGGATGTAATTCAAGCTCAAAATCTGACTTGACTAGTTTTCACGTACAGGCTAATTATATTTCGTCGTCGTTCGTAATTAGATATACTGGAGCATATCCAGAAACCCGGCAGGGCTGCAGATACTCCCTCCCGAACGATATGCCTGCTGGACTATGTGGCGAAACTTTTTTAAGAGGTATCGTCGCCCGTATCAGCCTGCACCTGTCGCGAGTGGGCCCTGACTATCAGACAACCAATTCGGCTTCCGACAGGAACGCTCGACGCGATCGATCGCGTCCGCTCTTTTTCGGAAGACGTTGTCTGTCGGGGGGGGAGTGGCGTTGGCCGTCAGTCTTGACATAGTCAACGCCTTTAACTCTCTCCCGTGGTGCGCTATTAGGGAGGCACTTGTGTATCACCAGTTGCCTCCCTACTTGAGGGACATCATCGGGGTTGATCACCGTGGCAGGTATATCGCATATGGGTCGGGACGGCGAAGATTGCCAAAGGGGGGTCATTCGGGGTTCCCCAGGGGTCAGTCTTAGGATCTTTTCTGTGGCACCTTGCGTATGATGCCATCCTGAGGACCAACCTTCCCCCAGGATCGAGAGTTACTTGCTATGCGGACGAGACTCCGGTACTGGCTGGGGGTTATGGCTTCCAGGAAGTCCTGGAGCTCGCCGAGTCAGGGGTGGATTGTGTCGGTTGCACCTCATAAGATGAAGCCCTGTAGTTCCATGGGAAACGCAGAGGTGCAGTCCCATCTGCTCGATTATCAAAGTTGGGGGAACGGAGGTCGAGGTTGGTCGAAATACCTCGGCCTCACCCTGGACAGCCGCTGGAGATTCGAGGAGCATTGGAGCGCATGATCCCCGAGTTCGCAGGGTGGCGGGCTCCCTACAGAGGCTCTTGCCTAATCTAGGGGGTCCGCGGGAGGAATTTGCGCTGTCGGCGACGATACCAGCCGTCGACTGCGCCGCGGGCGGCCAGAGCGTGGGGACCTCTGGTGCCAGATTGATTGCTGATAGAATTTGCGGGATAGAATGGCAGCCTGATTGCATTAAGACGCAATCGGGCCGCCACGCCGCGACTGAGAGGGGAAGTGTTTTCCCCTGGGATAGGACCTGATTAGGTAATGGTGTCAATTCGGGGAGGACCTGAAATAACATAGTCCGGGTCCTCCCAGAGTAGGACACCTAAGGCCGGCTGTCGGGGTGGTTTTTAGTGGTGCAGTAGATTCGAAGGGAGTTTTTTCCCCCTCAACAAAAAAAGGGTGTATGAAACAGTATCGATTTATGTAGGTAAATAAAAATAAAAAAATAAATTTCTTTTTCTTAAAAAATCCGAAAAGGTCTCGCTTTAGAGAAAAAAAAACTAACCATTCATATACATAGCGTTGCGTGCGTGAGCGCCACAAGCACTTTGCTAATATTACAGTATCACTCCCTACTTTTCTTAAATTTTAGGGAATATTAATTAGCTAAAATAAGTTATTAGAATAAGTTATTTATGACTAGTACTCTGTAAGTTAAACCACCTGTCTATGGTGATAAAAATATAACCGTGTCACCTACTTTCATACATAAAATTTGTTATTAATTTGATGATATTCATTATTAATAATTTTAAGTTTTTAGATTTTTTTTCTTTGTATATGCCTAATAGTCTACCTTGGTGCCAAATAGCAAATTTCTAGGTCATCTGTAAGTGGGTTAGGTTTTTGATCTATAAGTCAGTGAGTGAGTGAGTCAGTCATAAAATGCCAGTTTTTAAATGTTAATATATCAATAACTGATTGAGCAAAATTTATGAAATTTTGGATTCTTGACAAGCTGAGGGGGTTTAATAGTTGTGCCAAATTTCATTTATTATTAGGTAGGTTAAATAGTTTTTGAGTTGTGAAGAGGTCAGAACTAGCTCAAAATGGTTTGAGTAATATTACACACGTGCCACTTGTCTAGGTTATTATAAAATGCCAGGGTTACATAGACACACAAAACATTAATCTGAAATTAGCAGAAGTTATACATTACCATTTAATTCTTTTGAGTCAAGACAGGCTTTAGCACTGCCTAAGGCAACTAGCCACATCTGTCTCTCCTGTGGTGATGGTGCTCTTAAATACATGTGCTGCTGACCAGGTATAACTAGATCTAGTCTAGTATTGTCTATATTATTCACTGGAAAACATAACATTAAAAATTAAAATTTACTATATACCTATAAAATCACACATTAGTTTCCTCAAAGTGTTTCTTTAACTAAAAGTAATTTCTTTCTGTCAAAGTTCTGATGTAAATAAATTAAAATAGAAGAAAATACTATGTAGTATTATAATCATCATCATCATCAGCTGCTGGACATAGGCCTCTCCCATTGCACTATAATAGATATATATATTTATATATATTTAATATATTATGAGGAAAACATTTAATTTGAAAGGTAAAATAAACAAATAAACACCATATAACAATATAAGGAAAGAAATGTATTTATCAATATTGGCAATGATGAATTATTATGCATAGTTCCGTACATATCATTATACTGCTATTTTTGATACAACTACACAACTACAAATATAAATCTTGAATAAATAGACAAAATTCGAAGAATTAAACACTAACATTCCATTAAACATTATCAGATAAATTGCAATGTTGTATCTATATCTTTAACTGATTATTGAACAAGCACTCACTTGATAGCAATGATCATATTACTTAATTAATACTACTTTCACTAAATGAGTATCTGAGACTATTAGTGGGTGTATTGAATAAGTAACCACAACTAAGTCATCCCTTACCATTTATTTGACAAACTGATACTTTGACAGAACCTTTACATCCCTGACTGACTTCCTCCTGTGATTTATAATATGAAATGATTCCATTCTCTAAAACAAACCACCTAGTCTGCCAGCCTGAAACAGTTTCAATATGTTATTTTATTTACATAATAAATGCCCCAACTTAAAAGCAATATCACAATATGAAATACCGTTCCAATAATTAGTCCACTTCCACAAAATTCCTTCCATATTAAACGTAAGTTCCTATTACTTCACTGATTTGTTTTATTTGTTTACTTTTGATACAATTAAATTTTTCGTCTTGTTGGATTGAAAGTGTCAAAATTTTGTAATGTCAAACTTTTTTTTAATTACTTGGCTTTGTAGGGCTTGTGCTTTTGCCATTTATAAAAGTAAGGAAAAATTTATAGGTAAAGAATTAAGAAATTAGGAATTAATAAAAAGTCATCTCATTTGTCCTTTTTAATATCTTACAATCGGCTTTGCCGTTAAACTGTTAAAATCTATAACAGTGTTTTCATCATTCCTCTAGCTAGTAAGTAAGCATGTGACAAAATAACAATAAACTGTGAAAGACCGGTGATTTAAAGGGTAAGTGTAAACATAGTAAAAGAGTAGACATTTTTCGTTTCTGAACGTAACCGGTAACACTAAACTTTGCAATTCAACTCTTTCCTACAGGATATTGACAGTCTTTGATTATCAATAGAGATGGGCGTTTTCGTTAAATTTTGTCATCGATGCGCATCGTTAATCAGTGAACCGCATCCGATGCCGGCATCGTTTTTTCTGGCATCGATTTGATTATGCGATTTTCGATTAGGCAAAATTAGTTGCCGGCTAAAGTGTCTGCGTATGAATATTAGATAGGTATTCGGTAACGTTGCCTTATTGAAATCATTTGATACCTATTTTATAACTCTGTAAATTATTTAGAAATACAACATTACGATTTCTACTGGTAAAAAGTATAGAGGTTGTAGAATAAACATAAGGTAATTAATATTAGTCTTCACTTTTAACGAAATTAGAGTTTACATTAAGAAAAACCAATTTTTCTAATTTGGAACTTGAAAGACGAGATCTTCGTTCATTCAAAATATACCCGGCTTTGGAGAATATCCGTTCGCATGGCACAGAAGTTATCACAATATTACACCTCGAACGGTATATTTCTGCAAAGGTCGGGTATATTTTGGAATGACGGAGCCACCATTCATTGGATCGCTCCACGCCCCGTCAACGTTTTGCCGGGGCAAAATTTCGTCTTCCAAGTACAACCGCATCTATCATCAAATCGATGTTTCGACTTGTCATCGCCGCGTTTTCCGTTTCGTAGTCATCTGGCGCCTCTCGCTCGCTCGCATTCGGTGAAGTTCGCATCGGATGTTGCGGGCATCCGATTTTCAATATATCGGCATCGGATGCCGGCATCGTGTACTGGCATCGATGCTTAAAAACGTTTTTACAAAAACGACCATCTCTAATTATCAAACAATCCAAGTTGAAGGGTGTGGTAGAAATCCGTTGATGTTTGTGATACTTCGTATTTATTTGTTTTAGATAAAATTCTAACTGAACATTATGGACAAACTCATAATTTTGAGCGTGTTATTGGTTTTCTTCGTCTCTACTGGTAAGAAGCAAAAAGATTTTGAGCGTGCGTTATTGAAATCTTTTAAGTTGTTAACCAATTGTCTCTCAGTTTTAGGACTCGAATGTTATGTGTGCGAAAACCAAGAAGATAATAATGAAAAGTGCGTGAAAACAATCAAGAACTGCGATTATAATCAAGATGTTTGTTTGACTGAGATCAAGTGGGGTAGCACTCCTTATTGGTCGCAAGGAGCTAAGAAACAGTATTACATATCTAAACGGTGTTCAAATAAGACCGAATGTGCAACAACAAGACGCCGTTATATGCCGCTTTGTACCCATATTTGGTACCAAGATTGGGTGTGCTCAGACTGTTGTCTTGGAGACCGCTGTAACTATTATATTATTGTAAGTAGTCATTGATGTATCTTGTTTTGTTATCCTTTAATTTGGTACTTTATAGGAGTAAAGATTTTCATGTAGCCATATGAATACTTTTTACAGGTTAGGCCAGTGGTTTTCATAGACATTAATATGATTTTTAAATATTCATCTTAGATTTATGAAAAGTTTTAAAAACAATTATATGAACAAAAAATACTTGCCTAAAAAAATATTATCCTAAAATATTATCTCCATCAGTAGAAATTGAAACCAAAAATCTATAGTATGCTTAATAGTCAATGTACCTAAAAGTACTAGTTAAAGAGAATGTCTTCATATGAAACATATCCAATTGCATCTGTGAAAAGAGGGCCCTTTGAATATTTCTGCGTCATTTCGTTTCTTGACTTCAAACTGCTTGTTTTTAAAATCCTAACTTTGGTCTTATTTCAGAGTGGAAGTGCAACTTTAAAACCTGTATTAATTACCCTTTTTGGAGTACTCCTGCTAAGATTGGTGTTATAAAACCATTACATGAGAAAAATCTTAGATGGAACACTTGTATTGTTGGAGTGGTCCAATTGAGCTGAATGTTGTACATTGTACAATAATTTTACCTTTTCAATTTTCAAGGAAGACTACAAGGCAATCAAAGAGTTTTAAGTTCTGAAATCAACTTTTGTTAGTAGATGTGTGTATTTATTTTTGATTTTAGAACATAAATATGTGAAGCATCTAAAAGTAATAACAACATAAGTAATGATTAGCAGAATTTTATATAACATCAATATTTATTGCTAATTAGTCTATAATTTAAATATTTCCTTATATTTTCTTTACAGGTATATACTACTACTACAGGTATATAGTTATTTGTATTGTAAGTGCAAAGTTAAAGAATTAGTAAAGAGATCAAATTATAACAAAAATTTAAATACCTTGTCTAAGATCTGTATTTCTAAATCTCTAACAATTTTACAGAGTGGTATAATGTGTTCAATGTTAATGTAACTCTGAAATATGTATAACTCCAATGAATCTATATTTAATAATGAACCAGTTAATTGGTCTGTGTAGTTTTTTCTATATAAGCTAATGGCAACACATTTTTTCAAAGCACACAAGGGTCTAAGTAATAGGGGGCATAAGTAAGTTTTTATTAATTAACAGCATAAAATTTGTCAAAATTAAAAACAATGTGCCTAATAGAAAGTGTCATGTGATGAAATTTGATTTTCAAAAGAATGAAGCGAATTGCAAGAGATTTTTTATACAATTCGGGCCCATAATCAGTAACCTACCCTGCCCCACCGTGGCTATGCATTTGTTAGTAACAAAATAAGTTTTAATGTTTTATAAACCCGATGAACCTGACCAGGATTCAATTAATGTTGTGTCCATAATCACAATCATTGATTGACCCAAGTTATATTATGAAGAATATTGTTTTCTTTCTAGATTATCAACTATTTTATAGTCATACGATTTTTAACAGTAATACTATTGCTATATAAAATAATAAATTATTCACTTTTGATTATACCAGTTAATAGTACATGTTCTAGTAAAACTTATACTATTGTTCAAAAAGTTGATGATTGATTAGGACAGAAGAAATATGTGTAGTCAACACCACCTGACTTGACAGTCAAGATGAAATTGAGCATAAGATATAGAAAGGCACCTTGTTAACCACTACTTAATATTGAGGCACAGGTGAAATCATGCTTAGTAAAACAATTATACTGTAGAAATGAGAAATTCAACTGTCTTTTGTATACACTTTGTGAGTTTTGTACCAATATTTTATCTATATTTTAAAACATGATTGTTGCCGCCTGCTAATTCATATTATATGAACTGTTTCAATTGCTATTAAAGCATTTATTTATTCAACTATACATTTTTGTATATCTCAATAATCATTAAGACTTGAATTATAATCTTTTTACAGAAGACATTTTATCTAAAAACATATATATATATATATATATATATATATATGTATGTATATATATATATATGTATATAATTTATATATATATATATATATATATATAAATTATTATAAAAAATATACCTACAATTTGGAGAAAATAATACATTGTCATCTTTAGAATATGTTAAAGGACTGCCTTTTAGTTTTAATATTAGTATTTAGGTGTTCTTTTATGTATCCGATCCACAGTATGTTATGCAATTGCATGAAGGATAAGAAATAAAAATTGTTTTATTAGAATTGTACAATAAATTTGACACCTCGACACAGGATCAAGTTTTGGAAAAAAAATTACATGTGAATAATTTACATCTGAAATATTAACAAGGCAGGTATTGAAGGAAATTAATCTATACTTAAGTTAGTATAAAAGACTTTTTTAAACAAATCCGTCCAATGATGTGCTTTATTTTTATGATTTCATTGCAGATTGCAGTGCAATTTGTATAGTGTAACTGTAATAAAATGTTTATTACGGTGATTTTCAAATAAAATTTATATAAAAGTCGCCTCTTTTACTATGCATCTACCTCAAAATTCAGATTCAGTAGAATGACGATTGCATATCTCGGGGCATTTTATTGCTCGGGGCACAACCAAATCAAACAAAAGTTTTTTTATGGTATAGGTAGCAAACTGCAACTTGAAAATCACAAGTTCGTTGCCTGTTCGTTGAATCAACCCAGAATTAACAGGAGTGCGGGAGGGGATCACCCTCGCCTTGGTATCACCCTTTTTTTTCATGTTGAGGGGGCAGACAAGCAGACGGGTCACCTGATGTGATGCACCTGAAAGTGGACCAAGAACGTGAACGCTTGCACTTGCAACTCGGGAGTCACAAACGTGTTGCCGGCCTTTTAGGAAAGAGTACTCTTTTCACTCTGGTCCAGACAGCCTATTTGTACAGAAGCATGACTCCCACGGAACAGCAGTACAATCGTTTTCACAAAGCCATTCTGAGTGTTTTTGACCCCTGTAACTTCATTGCAAAAAAGTTAGCTTGAATTTTATGTGACCAATGCAAAAATGTGTATTTTGCAATTTCATGTAATTTAAACCTGTAGTTAAGAAACATAGCAAAATTCTAACAGACACTCGCTTCTAATAAAACTTACTGTTAAATCTACAAATCAAGAAAAAGCTTAAACGACGGCAACTTCAGTTCCATTTTCTGAATTTGCAAAACCTCGTAAAGCCACAAAAAGAACAAATTCCATTAAGCTATGAAATAACCATAATAATACATTTTGCAAGTGAATCACATTCAACTACGGATTCGTTAACACAATTTGTATAAATGGCTTATAACCCTCGTCAATGTTAAATGAGAAACCTGTGTGGAAACCCCTTCGGACCGTCATTCACCTGACCGGGCTTTGCGGCGGACTGGTCTGTCGGAATCAGACCGACTAAAACCACACGGTGTGCAACTCTACGACTGAAGTAGTAGGAATCCGGGAACAGCTGTTATTAAAACCTCCGGTTCTCTCCTCTTAGTAATTTTCCGCAATATCGCAAACACCACTTTCGAGTAAAATCTCCGATTCATTTATATACATTGCTCCTTCTTACTTGTATTCGGTAAACCATTAGTCACTGCAACAAGAAAATTTACCGACAAATTGAAAGATATGTTAGAAGAGTCAGTTAAGTTAGTCGATGCTTTATTTTTACAGTTGCCTAAAAACTTTAAGATACATTGCATAATAGTGTGCGCTATTATTGGATATATACGGTTTTGTAACGTTTTTTTTAAGTAGCAACTCTTGGTCGGTGTAATTTCAATTTTAATCTGTGGTATTATAAAAGTGCCATCCATTCATTGCTTCTAGCCAACTGCCAACTGCCAAGTGCCAATCCGAACCAGCCAGCGGTAGCGGCAGAAATTTCCTCTTTAGCCTTATTAGAAGTGAAATTGTTATCTTTCTAGAATGAATTGGAAAAGAGTTAATATATTTAATTATAAACCGCTGGCTTGTATTCTTGTCTTGGTAAGAGATATTTATAAAACAAAAAATGCAAGACATTCTCTAAAATCTAAAAACCTACGAATGGCTTGTTGATTTTTATGGTCTATTATGGATAAGTAATTGGTGTATAATGCTTAAGGATTGTTATGTTTCAGATATGCCATAGTTTTTACAACCCCACCGACAGCGGTGCGGTACAAATTACTCAAAGTAATTTGGATATGGTGCTAGGTAAGTAAGAACTCATTCCATATTCTGGGAATACTTTTTCGAGGGTTCAGGTTTTTGCAGTACTTAACTTTTTAAAATAATTAGAATTTCTGATATCAGGAGGTCCTGATACCAGTAATTTTAATCAATTTATTATTTTTAAATTTAGGTATATTTTTTGTACTCTTAAAATTAGTATGGTTTTAATAAATATTTGTTGTTAAATTTTCCCTTGATAGTAACAGCATCAATGGGAAAATTACAGTTTAATTTTGACAAAACTTAATTTTTTAAGGAAGTCCATGTTTTCTATATATTTTATGATATATCTATTACAACATCAGGATAGAAATGAACACAAAAAGTTGTTTATAGTAAAATTTAAAATTGTAATAATCATATTCTTTATTGTTTATGTGATTAAGACCCCACAAGCTAGTGTGTTTTTTGTTAATTCCTACTAAACCAATAAATAAAGTTGTGTTATGTTACAAATGTTACAAAAAATCTACATAATTTCGCACAAGTGTGAGAAAAGGTTTAACTATAAAAACAATAGAAGTTATTTCTGAAAAGTACAGAGCTAAATTATGCTTACATGACTTTAAAATTGCTGGTTTTCACTTACCACCAATTTTAAAGTTTAATTATTTAAGGTAATCAAAGTTCTTGTTTTAATTGTCATGATGCAAGCTATTAAATTATCTATTTAATTTAAGGATGGTATGGATACTATATTCTTTGGAGACACTGCAATACATGACATTTAAATAGGCAGCATTCCGTTTACAAACTATTCACTTTAAACACGTAAGTTAATGTGCTAATATTTGTACTTTTCTTTATTTCAGCCTCCAATGAAGTAGTATTTATAAATTTTTATGCTGAATGGTGTAAATTCAGTAATATGCTTATGCCAATATTTGACGAGGCTGCCGATACAGTGACTAAAGAAGGCTATGACACTGGGAAAGTAGTGATGGGCAAGGTAGACTGTGATCGAGAAGCAGCAGTAGCTACAAGGTTCCACATAACTAAATATCCAACTCTTAAAATGTTTAGAAATGGAGTACCAGCAAAAAAAGAATACAGAGGTAAGAATAATAATAATAATATTTCGGACATCTGACACACAACCCCATCTAGTTTCAAACTAATCAGAGCTAAACAGAATACTTAAAAAAAGGAAATTACTTATACACACTGGCCTGTTGGTGTAGTGGTTAGTGATCTTGACTGCGACATCAAAGGTTGTGGGTTTGATTCCGACCCAGGACAAATTATTGTATGTTAAGCACAGTGATTTTTTTAATTGTCACCTGCGTGTAATTTATCTATAGTATGTAATTAGGTTTACCAACAGCCTAGTTATCATAGTACAGATCAGACTGCCAGACCCAATGATATCCAGTGAGAATGAAGAAAATGTTACTGCTTGAAGTAAAATTATTGTGAAATGTAATACTGTGGTATAGGCCGACCGTTTATCTGAGTCCTCGCCTGCGCGGTAACAGGGGCGCGGGGGTATGACGACAAAGGTTTCATTGATTTGAATCTTTCGTTGTCCTTCAATAACTTCCCTTGATGTACGATTCTAGATACAGTCTTTTCCGATAGTTCAGTAACTTCTGCTACGGTTTTGTTGATATTCATCAGAATTTGGGTCCAGTTTCTTTTTTCTAAAATATTCGTACACGTTTAAAGCCATTTGCTTGCACTGACTATTCACTTTATGACCGAAGATCTTACGATTCATCTTGAGATTGTTATCACATGTGTATCTCTCTCACTGGACGCCTTGTGCTCAACAATTAACACGTGCGATCGCTGTCCGCGTTGCGATCGAAATGAGCGATTATAAAAATTCGCCCGCCGCCCGCTCCTGTCTTAGTCCCCTTTGTCGTCATACCCCCGCGCCCCTGTTACCGCGCAGGCGAGGACACTAATGGGCACTAATGGGTGGGCTCCACCATATTGGTAGGTACCATAGAATCGTAGAAAACCAGTGTTGCTTGAAATTCTTTCATTTCTTTTCAACAAGTGAGTGAGGTTACTAAAGCACCAAACCCCTTGGTTGTGGGCTCCGCATTTCCGCATTTAGACTCAAGAATGGTAATTTATGCATTGAGGACAGGTAGACCAAGTGAGTGAGCGTAATAACCAGAGGGGACACAAAGGGTGCCCCCCATTTGTGGTTTTTGAGTTACAGGTGTTCATGGGTAAAGATAGTTACTCACCATCAGACAACCCATCTGCTTGTTTGCCCCCTACACCATAAAAATAAACATCCACAGTCATACACTTAATTCACCAACCATTGGTTTGTTAGGTTAGGTAGGTAAACATTAGATAGGTAAACCTTATATTAAAAAATTACTAGTGTAAAAAAATGCTTCGTGGCGGCCATCGGAGTGGGAGTTCTCTCGCTCGATAGCCTGATTGCGGCTATCGTGCGGAGCGAGAGTGCGTGGAACTCTGCCGTCTCCTTCTGCGAGCAAGCTATGCTCGCGAAGGAGACGGCGGAGCGGGACCGGGAGAGGTTTAGAACGGGCTAGGTCCCGCAGGCGCCGGAGGTCGCAGAACGACCTCCGTCCTCCATAAGCGCAGGTCTGAGGGTGACAGGTGAGGCCATCTGTCACCCTAGCAGAAGCAGGCCGGGGTGGCGGCGAGGGCGTTGCGAAGCGCGCTCGCTGCCAGGGAGCAGAGGGAACATGGGGTTACCACACGGGGGGGTCGTCTACTCGTCTGTAGATGGCCCGAGGTATGTCGGGGCACCAGGGACTTCCTTTCCTTCCCGAGACGGCGTGCGGTTTTAGTCGGTTCGAGTCCGACATGCCACCGACAGGTAGTATCCGAGGGGATTTCCGCACGGAAAAAAAAAGTGTAAAAGAATGCTATCATAGGAACACTTATGATAGCATTCCTATACCTTATTAATTTTTGTAATGGTAACAAACTCTCACTGATCACTATAGTCTGCATTTGTAATGCATAATTTATTTAATTAGATCCTAATGAAAGTAGATTTTGAAACAATATATGATTTGCATAAATTATTTGCTTTACAGGATTTTATAGTTAGCAAAGTTAAATGTGAATTCTTATCACTTAATTATTGACTTCATGACTACTACATAAAATTTTGCTTCTATGTTACTCAGGTCAGCGCTCATCAGAAGCTTTCGCAGAATTCATTAAGAAGCAATTGACAGATCCAGTAATTACATTCTCTGCTCTGAAAGAGCTGCACAACCTCAGTGAGGAGAAGAGACATCTCATTGGTTATATGGACCGAAGGGATCAGCCTGAGTATGAAACATTTAGAAGAGTAGCAGCTAACTTGAAAGATGAATGTCAATTTCATGCTGGATTTGGTGATGCTTCACAACAAATGCATCCAGCAGGTAAGCAATTCTGAGGGCTCTTTTAAGTAGCTAAATACTGCCACTTGTAGAAATAATTTTTGGAAATGCATTGTTAATGGGTCCTACCAAAAACTTTATTAGCTAAGGTACCTATAATTATACTCTATGAGACTGTAAATGGACAATTACAGTAGAAATAACTAAAATATTTTTTTTCATAGAAGTAAAATACAAAAAAAAACCTGAATAAATTACAACTTTCTATTATGATTTATTCAGGTTTTTTTATGTTTTTATATACAATGTAATAAAGTTATGAGTTAAAATATTGTCTGCTCCATTTAAATATGCCTTTATTGTAAGTGTAGTTACAATATCCATTTATTAAAATTAATAGTTTAAAGTAAAGAGTAGCTATAAAAAATGTATTTAAGTTTAAGAACTCTAGCCAGACGTTTACAACATTAATTTAACAAATAGGCTTTAATGTTTTTAATATGTATTTGTTTTGCAAACCTCAGTGGCTTTGTTGACTACCAGACGATCTTATGATTCCCAATGTAATATAGCTCAAGCTTTAAACCTTTTATGCAATACTTCGTTCTAGGGCTTCAACTCAGTCTTAAAACAAGCGCCTTTTATAAAGTTATGACATCTGTGTTATTAAAACTTACAAGATAATGTCTAGCCTCATGCATCAAATATGAATATAAATAAAGAGCATAGAATCATTGTGGATGCAAGGGCTAACATACAACATGTTGTTAAACATGTTTTGTCATTTAGTGTGGATATTGATTATTTGATAATTATATGATCAGCAATAAATCGAAAACTGTAGTTATGATTTTTATTTGACGCATTAAGTAAACAATCGTTGGTACGGTATTGGCCGAACTGAGGAGTGTACAAAAAAAAAGTGAAATGCATGAGTCATTAAAATGGGTTCCGTAACTTTTACGTAATGCGTACAGAGTAAAATAATTGTAGAAACTATATATAATAAGATTCCGAAGATATCGCGTAACATGTACAAGCAATTGACAACCTCTTTGAACGTCGCCGTATGTTTAAAATGGAATCAAATTATTCGACTAATCTAAGAAAGGTGATGGTGGTGGTGATCCGCGGGGGTTTGCATAAGAAGAAAAAAAAATATCATAACATCGACGAGTTTTACAATAACTGTCTAAATGTGGTTAGCACATTTTCGTAGTTATTTGATATGCAAAAAAAATAAAAAAAAACTATGATTGAATTTGGTTTTATCAAACACGTACTAAGCTTTGAATGGAGATACTTAGCCATACCTCGAGGATTTTTTTAGCCTTGAAAAATACATTCTTTATTGTGTTCATTGCAACGTATAAGCAAAATATACTGATGAAATAAATCACACCTTTTATTTTGTATATAAGACTAGACTTTTCGGTGTCTCTATGTCTACTATACTTTTCGGCGGCTTACGTAAAAATTATGTCAATCCTTACCGGACATTACATAAATAATTATTTTATTACTTTCTTTATTCAATCCAAATTGCAATTTATTAATTTAGTTTATAGAAGTGCTAGAAGAGCTGTAATAAAAGTAACGAGAGGCATAGAATTAAGAAAACAATATAGATATTTATATCTTAATGTTTCTTTAGTTCCTTAAAATTAAGGCTGCATTTTTACAATATATATTTTTTTATCAGGCCAGCCAATAGTAGTATTTAGAACAGATCGGAAGATGTCAACAGAACCTGATGAAACCTACCGTGGATCTTTGTTAAGCTTCGAAGAGTTATATAAGTGGGCCCAAGAGAAGTGCATACCGTTAGTTCGAGAGATTACTTTTGAGAATGCTGAAGAACTTACTGAAGAAGGATTGCCATTCCTCATCTTGTTCCACCACCCCACCGATACAGAAAGTGTAAAACAATATAAGGAAGTTATTTTAAGGGAGTTGGAGGGTGAAAAACGTAAGTGTAAATATTTTATACGCCATTTAAAATATTAATCTTATGACATGAAATTGCCATTGATATAGGTACATCTGATATTGATATATAGATTACCTCTGTAAAAAAAGTTTTTTTATTAACAATATTCTACATTTATTTTGCTTTAAATTTAAATATACAACTGCCACACAAAGTTCTGCAACACTCAAAGAAAGAAACAGCCTATGGCACCAACTCCGCCTTATGCAATATATGCAGGCAGTTGTAAAGAAATAAACTGTCATTAAGTTAGTGACAGTCGTGACAAACAGAAGAAAGGAACCTTTTCTGAACGTGTAACCATGGCCTCATTTTGTGAGTTCTTTGCTTTATCAAGTACACCAAGTCAAGATGCCTTTTAAATTTTATCACTTACTAGCTGTACCCTGACACGCTCCGCTGTAGCACACTGAAGTGAGGAACAACACTGAGGTGAAAAATAGATAAATCAATCTTTAAAGTGGTTTGTATATGGTGTTAAAATTTGAGCTCAATTGGTGGTGGACTTTTTAGTCTGGAGTAGGAATAATGTCTGCGAATTTTCTGTTGTTGACATGTGTCGTGTGATAGAAATAAAATTTAACATGATCACAATCTTATTTAAACTTTTATGCATGAAGTGAGTTAGTAGTTGTTATATAACTGTAAAAGATTTGTTAGCACAGACTGAAGAAACATTAGATTTGTGTAGTTCATTACTGTACGTATTTATTTGTCACTTGATGTTTCTTTTTAAATCAAGTTAAAACATTTTATAAGACTAGCTAATAACATATCGAACAGTTTATTTTATTGTAATATTACAGAAAACGTGAACTTCCTGACCGCTGATGGCGTTCGCTTTGAGCACCCGTTGCAACATTTGGGCAAGTCCATCTCAGACCTGCCACTAATCGCTATTGATTCGTTCCGCCATATGTACATGTTCCCTGATTACAAGGAAATGGAGAAGCCGGGTAGACTAAAGCAATTCCTCCTAGATCTTTACTCTGGTAAATTGCACAGGTAAGAAATACATTCACTAAATTCTAGAGAAAAATGTGTAATAGCAATGTTATCAAGAAAACATGCATATCAGTATTTTCTTTTTGTGTCAGTATTTACTTTAATACGTCAAACATAAAACTTTAATTGTCAAGTAATCAAACTAATAGAAGGTATTAACAGGATTTGAAACGGTTCAAATTAAACTACTAGTTTAAACTGATTTACTATCCAGAGCCGTAATATATCGTTTGACTGATATCAAATATTGTATGCCATGCCATACAATATTTGATATCAGTCTATTATTATCCATACTTCTGCACGAATAGGCCGACTCGACCGGTGTGATACCACGGTCTCACAGAAAACCGGTGTTAAGCATTTCTTTCGTTGCCTTTCACTGAGTGAGTGAGGTTACCGGAGCCCAAATCCCCCCTCCCGCTGACTCGAGCGGGAGGGACTCCAAGGGCAGCAACGCATCTGTGACTTTTGAGTTGTAGGGCGGCGGTAGTTGCTTACCATCAGGTGACCAGTTTACTAGTTAGCCTCCTTATACCATAAAAAAATGGTTTTGTGATATTTTATTATTATTTTATGAAAAATGTGACCTACTAATGAAACTAATATTTTCTCGTTGTAGATACAAATAAATGTAGTACACATTCATGTAAATATGAATGGGTTGCTTACGTACTTGTAACTCAATTAAACACAATTGTAAATATTTATCTCCACAATATAATACCTACTATAATATATAGTGATAATATTACTTACGATATAGTGTTTATTTTGATACGTAAAAGATTTTTATCTAATTTGTGGTTTAAACATTCAAACATTATACAGTAATAATGTTGTCGACTAACTTTTGGTCAGGCTCCACTTCAACTTTTTCACACACACACTCATTAAACTCGAATGTTTTTATTTTATATCTTTTACCAATATAATTTGAATTGTCATTTCATAGACGTATTATGAAGACAGACATAATTTTTTCTAGCAGTCTAGCAGTTTAAACTCAGAAGAACACACAATTACAAAATGGTTGAATGGTTTTTGTATGTACTCCTAATTACTTATCCACTATAAAAGTAACGCTAAGTTATAGTCAAAAATGTCCTATATTGTCAACGACACCACTGAACCACACCGCTTTGGTGTCGTTTACAATTTTTTTTTGGTAACGACACCATCGTAATGTAGTTCTAACACAAACTTAAGCATTTATCAACATCTATTATTTTTCATTCGTAAGATCTGGACTATGACCATTTTCCTACCTATTTACTATGACCGTGAAAGACACGTTTTTTTACTAAAATACAAAATATATTTGTTCAGATTTACATAGTTAACAATAGATGTTTGTAATACGCTTAAATACCTTTGATGACATTATTCAGCGCTTGAAATATGTCCATCTCGTAAATTGATCGCTCGGCATAGCTTAGTGTGGTGAAATTTAGCTATTCAACATTATTGTTACTAAATAGACTTATTTTAATGATTATTTCTTATGTAGTATGTATGTATTGTAATCACCTATCAATCACTTTCTATACATTCATTCACGAGTTAATGCAGTGAAATGGAATACTTTTGAAGTTGTTTACTGAATTTAGTTTGTGTATGCTAAAGCTAAATTTCAGCTAAATCCTGTAAGATTTGTATGTTCGCACGTTTACGAGAGAATATGGTTATAAACGAAAGAGAAGCTTAAACACAATGTTGGTTTATTCAATTCGTCTGTAGTATGGTTAAAATAATTATGAGCACAACCGAACCGATTGGTGACTGTAAATGCACTGATTAAATTTAATGATTAAATAGTGGGAATCGATTGAGTTTGTTAATAATTTTAAATGTCAAACTAAACAGAAGAAAATATTTTGTTCTGTACGTTTTAGTTATAATTAAAAATGGTTATTTCTGTTTTTCCAGAGAATTCCACTATGGACCAGATTCGGACTCACCCGTATTGAACCTAGAAGTGAAAGTAACCACACCACCCGAATCCACTTTCAAAAAGTTAGCGCCTTCTAAGAACCGGTACACACTCCTCAGGGATGAATTATAAAGTTCCCAGTGATTAGGTCATGAATTTAGTATAAGTCACTTACTAAAACTTACCTTAATGTATAAATATAGTTTTATTATTTTAATGTTATTGTATTTTTTCTTTATTTATTCGTCTCGGAATTTATTTCTTTTTCTTCGTTGTAAACAGAGTCAATTATTTAATACCATTATTACTTATCTATTGCTAACGCTATCGTGCAATAAACTTGATTATAATCAAGACGTCACCAAACCTGCGTACGGTTTCGTTGCGCCATTTTATTTACGTTTTCTTCGAAGTCCTGTATGAACTAATATACCCAGTAGAACTATTTGTTTTGATGTTTGAAACTAAATAAAATAAATATAAATTTACCATCTTCAACCAAGGCGTTTGCAGGGACTAATACAGATATGCTATATAAACAGTAAATATTTTACTTGATTAGACAAATATTTATATCATAATTGGAAATATATTTAACTGAATATCTTTTTCCTTTTGTATTTATTAATTTTACGTATGAAAAGGATGAACCTTAAACACATACTTCACGTAAAATAATTAAGATCTCTGTAATATAAGTAAGGTATTGTGTGAGTCAGAAAGCTAAAGATATTTAGTTAATTAGAGTATCAAACATTACTAAGACGCTTGAGCTTGAGTTTTAAAAGAGTTTCCTTAATTATATAGATTTCTACTTTTGTATCTTATCACATTTATCTATAAGATATTCAATCCCAAAAATTGTGTTGTAATCTTTAAAAAAAAAACTGTATACTCAATTGGAATGCAGTACAGAAAATGTTTTTATGTGTTCACCAATAAATAACATTCATAAACACCACAAAATAATACCCAAAAAAGTATTAACTGTGAACACCTTCCAAAGAAGTACGAGTAAAAGAAATGAATGCTGTTGTCTGAATCAGCACTGCCGGAGCACGGGCAGCATTCATCTTTCTATTTCACTACTACAATGTTTTTCATTAGCAATGATTGGGTGGGTACCCGTGTATTCATTATGTATTTTAACTTTAATTTCCCTAATTTATGATTATTGTAAAACACTTTAAATGCACTGTTTCTGGAACTCACGGTGTTTCTGTTTGAATATGTAGAACATAGTTAATTAAAAAATATTTATAAGTTTGCATTTGAAAGTTCTTTACGGAATACTTAACACATAAGCAATCGAAATGTCTAAAATGGAACGATAAAACCTTACAATCCTGTTTTTTATTTGGATATGAGTGATAATGTAAATGTTAGTATATATATGCATGTGTATATGAGTGAGCTTTTGCGTTAGGAATAAATATATTCACAATTCACAAAATAGTGATAGTCGGCCGTTGTCTTCCACTTGGTAAGAAAAACCACTTGCTCGCCTTTAATATTTATCTGCTAAAATCATTTTGATATTAAAATATTAAAAAAACGTTAGGATGAATTCATTTATTGTAATTAAGTAAGTAATATAGATACATTGAAATAGATGGCAAGACAATAGACTTTCGTGTTGATAAAACATATGTGTGTTAAACATATGTGTTTATGGAATTTAATCATTAAAATACCAATGTCTTATGGTGTATTACTCATGATGGGTTAATTCCAAGAAACTGTGTTAAACTTCTTTTGACGAGATGAAACATTCCTCGAACTAAAACAGCATACTCGTTATTTACTTACTGTATTATGTGTAATGGTTGTACAAATGTATGTCTTGTGACGTGTGATGAAATAAATTTTCTCGATCCAGTTCTTTTCGTTGTTTTTTTTAATATAGAATATTTGGTTGCGAAAAAAGATTGTCTCCTTACGATATTTTTTATCGTTGTTAGGTAAATGATATGTTATATTGAGATTTGACATTGGGAGATAATGTCTATATCTATATTACATGTCTTTTTTAATAGTACACTTTTTTAATAGTATATAAATACGTACACAAATAACCCTCCCAGACCAATTCATTCATATGCACAGGCATTTGCACTGTGTGCGTTACCCCAGCAAAATAATGTCGAAAATGGTCATTTAAACGTTATAGATAATTAGTTGCTCTCCTTCTGTAATTGTTAGGCACATTTTTAAATTTGTTTCTCTTAAACTTTTTTAGTTATTTCAAAAAAACATTTCCTGCTGGGGTAACGTTTGAAACGTTACCGCAGCCAGACATTTTCTTTTTTAATTGTAATATTGAAATAAATTTTAGCTAGATAATTAGTTATCTGGACTAGGTAAATGTTACAACTTATTTGGTATTTGTATTTTCTTCGGCTGCGAAGTTATTCGAAATCCTGCTGGAGTAACGTTTGTGGGTTTGCTGGATCTCTGAAACGGGTAACATGTAACCATCTTTTGTACATAACTTCTTAAGGATTAGTTTTAATTTGTTCGACAATAAAATAACAAAAATAATGGACCGTTTAAAAATTATTTAGGTAAGTATGAAAACACTTCAATACGTCCTAACACTTTAAATAAGACCTCTAAAGACATACTTCAAACGTTATTCTATTGCTTGTAACTACCTTCAAATGTATACGAATTTTCGTAAGAATACTGTAAGTGACTAAAAAGTTATGATGAAATGTAGCTCTCCACGTTCACGATTACAATGTGTGCGGCCTTTTTTGGCCACCGATAAACCTGTGTGTGGATATATAAACTGAATGTTATACCAATAATTAGTTGTTTAGTTCAGTTGTCTACCTGTAGAATTTCAGCGTCGTACATATAATAATTTACGAGATAATTAAATAAAAGTCATTAGAAGGTGCAAGTCCGTGGTAATCCGACCATGTTTAGGTGGTTACAAAAAAGCGATCACCCAGTACATTGCGCTGTCTTTTAAAATGTTTAGTGTAATACACCTTACGATTTCGGTACAGTTGCGTACAGTGTTAAATACATTCAATATTTATTCATTATTATTACCTATTATTTATTTTGTTTTTTTCCCTAATTGATCTTAAGCACTAGTTTCTTTACTTATAATTTCTTTAGTCTTTTTTACTACCGGAGCTACAATCAACAGAAAATCTGCACTGGTCCGCTAAAATTATAAATATGTAGATACATGTATGAAAGATTCACCTGACTGCAATAAATCGAAAATTTAAACCAATAAGAAATCGTTTCATTTCTTTGATTTTTTTTAGTAAAGAAATAACACTAAAGTAATTGTATTTTATTTTGGGGTGCATAGAGCTTAGACTTGAATGCATCAAAATATTTAAAGCAACAAGTCATCTACAATAAGTTAAAATAGACCGAATAGTAGAAGAATACAGTTGTAAATTAGAATGCATCAACATTGCATCGCCCAACAGTCGTATAATTCGTAAGAGTAGGTAATATTGTTCTGTGGTCTATACCCAGAACCGAGAATTATCTATACCTATGTACCTACCGTTAAGCGTTGAGCCCGTGACTGTTGATTACTGTTAAAAACGAACAGTTGTTGAATGATATTTTGATATAATAACGGTAATTTAATTTATCGAGTGAAAGTGATACATTTTTATACATAAAATTATTGGTCAGATAATATTTGTCAATCAATTTGCATTTAGTGCACTAAACTTGACCCTTAGGCAGATAATATACGTGTTGTAAAGTACGTGTGCGCTTCCGCTTTCTACACTGGACAGCAAATAAACCGAGCCACCCGCTACCTAGGCACTCTAATTCGATTTTCTCAAAAACTAAAAAACCTACAATTAACAAAGTTGTACCTACAGAAAGTGCGTTTCACGGTGATTAAAATGAAAGGAAACTCATTGGGTTTAATCAATATTTCAGTGTTTATTAAGGATTTTACAAAGAAGAGTCGTTTTCCAGTCGTGACAATCGTTAGTAATGATAAAGTGAACAAAAAATTAAAGCCAAAAACAAAGATAAAATCAAAAAAAAGTTTTTGATCAATATTCCGTATTCCCTCCCCTTGCTCGGATAACTGCCAGCATCCTTGTATTCATCGACCTTACGAGCCTGACGATAAAATCTTGAGGAATTGTATTCCACTCCTCTTCAATTGCGATTCGCAGCTCTGGAAGTCTTGTTGGAGCAGGTACCCGGGCTCGAACCCGACGTTTCAGCTCATCCCATAAGTGTTCTATCGGATTCAAGTCCGGGCTTCGAGCTGGCCAGTCCATCGTACGAATGCTGACGTCAAGTAGATCCTGGGTCACCACATGAGCAACATGAGGCCGTGCATTATCATGCATCAATTGCATATCCTGTCCGATATATCCTGCGTAAGGTACCACATGGTCTGCGAGGATTTCAGTAATGTAGCAATGAGAAGTCAGTCCACGTGTACGGCCCGTCGGTTCGATGAAAACTAACGCTGTATGTGCTGTTAACGAGATGCCGCCCCAGACCATTACAGATCCTCCTCCATAAGCAACAGTTTCCTCGATGCAACACTGAGAATAACGTTCTCCAGGGCGACGATATACTCTCTGACGTCGATCACTTCCATGTAGACTCACCCTGGTCTCATCAGTGAAGAGTACATTACTCCACTGCTCTAATGTCCAATCCCTATGCTCTCGAGCAAATTCAAGTCGTGCTCGACGGTGTGCTACCGTTAATGCTGGGCCTGTTGCAGCTCTTTTTGGGGTCAGGTTCCGTTCAGCAAGTCTCCTTCTGACGGTATCTGAACTTATGACCACTTGGCGTTCGTCACGCAGACTTTGTTGAACTTGAACTGCGTTGAGGTGGCGATTTCGCAGAACAGTAAGGTGGATATAACGATCATCTGCTGCTGATGTAGCCCTAGGTCTGCCCGTACCTGGACGGCGATCGAATGCTCCAGTCTCTAGGTATCGTCTGTAAACTCGTTGCACCGAAGATCTGCTGATTCGAAGCCTTCGAGCGACTTCACGTTGCGCAATGCCTGCTTGAAGTAATGCTACAGCTTGAGCTGCTTCCTGAGGTGTTGTATCCATTATTAATCGAAAAAAGTAGCAAAAACACACGCGTCTGAGCAAACGATGGACAAA